TTGGCGGAAAGATTGCTAACTCGGAAACGAGACAAGCTGGAAGGCTGGAATTTTAAGAGAATGTTCGTTACTCAGTGCGACTAAAAGATTTCAAATTCATCTCTTCTAGGGAAGTCTTTTTTGCGCACCAGCAACTTTCCATTTGTCGGGTTACTGAAACCGGCATCTACGACTGACACATCATAGAGCTGCACAATGAACGTCAAGAACTTCGGGAGCCAGTATTTCACAGGTCTGGCTATTGTAATTCCTTGCGATCTTGCTACAGCACGAAATAGTGCAAAAACGCATGATCGTACCGGCCGCGTGGTGCACTCCAGCCTGGGTTATAGTTAATATCGTTAGGATATTAGAGTGTCAAGTTCGAATAATTACACAATCATCATGTAGCTTAATCAGCATGCCTTCAGTACGTATATTAGGAATGCAGATTTCATGATCTGCATGAATGCACGGTTTTATGGTCTCCGTGAAATTTGCGTACTCATGTACTCTTGTTCCAATTATTCCTGAAGAAACTTATAAATCTCTTCCCATCTATACAGCTGTTTTAGCAGCAATATTTTTGGCATTTCTAATAGGACGCGTTGTTGGGAAAAGTCTTCGATGATTTATTGCACTGTTCCTGACTTTGTTTCTCGTGGCTTATCCCACTGATCCAACTAGTTCTTTGTTTTAAGGTAAAAGTTTTCCAGCGCGATACCTAAAGGTCGTATCTCACTGCTGACTGGTGAGAAAAAATCTGTGAAGGTGACGAACACAGAAGTAATAAAATAGAAAAATCCTATTAAAATTACCGAAGTCGTGCCATTTTAAGCAAATTCATAAATGCAATCGCGAAAGGAACTACGAACCTCTGCCCACTCATTCTCCCGCTTTACTTGATGTATATATTTTTCCAGCTTTTTCTGACAGATTTCTGGCAGCAGTGTCCCCAAAGCGTCTTTCATACCGACTTTTTTGTATGAGCCTGACCTGCTGGTAAACTGAATACCTGTTTTTAGTGTGTACTAGCAAACAGTGCAATCTTCGTCTAAAACAAACAAACCAGTGCCGAATTTCACAGCGAGGATGTCTTACTTTCGGAGCTCAGTACTCCCAGTATTTGAATGTCCTCAGTAAATTGGTCAGGCATAATTTCTGATCTTTTTCCT